CTCGCAACAAAAGAACGGTTTTGCTGCCGTTGTGGAAATTACCATTCAATTTCATCTGAAGAAATCCACACCCACTTCCAACTAATAAAATATCTACCATCATGGGTGACACGTGGCAGCACTTTATTTGTTGTAAAATTAGGTGTAAACAGCTTGATAAGTACAAAAGAAATTGAGGAATGCCCGATGAAAGGCAATTGCAAAAAGTTGGGTATCAAACTACCTGCTTGGTCCATATTGCAGTGCCTATTGGCATCAGCGAAGTTTGACTCTTCTGGGTTGGTGATTAGTATGTGTTCTTGTCTCCTTTATGTCATTGGTTTTATCTAACCTAATTGAGTGACAACATAGTTGTGTAATCAAATTTTGCAGCTGACGATGTGAAATTGACAAGGATCAATGGACCTAGCGATAAGTTGTTTGACTGGTTCATCGAACCCCTCTTGATAATGAAAGAGCAACTGAAGAAGCATCAACTTGATGAAGATGAAGAAATTTGCCTGAGAAAGCTCGTTACAAAGTCTGAGGGTTGGGATGATATTGGATATCCATCCAATGACAAAGTCAGGAGAACTCAGCTTCAAGCCATAATCAGAAGGTACATTTACTGATAATGCAAATATGATCAATTCCACCGCTTCAAACCATGCTTTTGTATTGCCAATCCTATACAAATGGAAGTTGGATATCATCTATTAACTTTCAAATGACAGGTTACAGGGAATAGTAGCTTCCATGTCCCGGATTCCCACATTCCGGCGTCGCTTTAGGAACATAGTGAAGATTCTATACATAGAGGCCCTTGAGGTCGGTGCTTCTGCTAATCGTAATGGAGGAGCCTTGAATGCCTAGTGACGAGATTAACAGCATGTTTGAGATGCAGGTTAGGATAGGACTGAGTAAGACAAATAATGAGACAAAACAAGACTAGATTGGAAAAGATAATATGAATCTCATCTTATGTTTGGCATTTTTTTGGATTGTATAAAAAATTTATCCCATTTTATGTTTGGAATTTTGTAGGATTACATAGGATAACTTTAACAAAATTTTCATATGGACAAAAATACCCTTAAATTTAAAATATTGAAAAACTTGCATTCATTTACCCAAATTTATTAGATAAAATCTCTTTAAAAAATAAAAATATATTAATTTATAAAAATAATTAACTTTTTTAACTACCAAAGATATTATATTTATATAATATATAAATTCATAAATAAGTCAAATAAATTGTATATTAAAAATCATAAATGACAAAAAAAAATACAAATAAGTCAAATTTATCAAAATAATTCATAAAAAATTTAAATAAAAAACTACAATCTTTGTAGTTTGAAGAACAAAACGAAAAGAATATAATGTAAAATGAAAATAATGAAATTCACATTCTGAGATCTTCAAAACAATGAATATAAAAATTTCATAAAAATAATGCAAGCTAATTGTCAAATCCACAATTAATAGTCATTCATATATAGTACCAATCCTTTGAAATAGTCACCATTATCTATATACCATATGATTTTTTCTAATAAGTCCTTTATAAAGGCAAATGCTTCCTCTCAGTCAAACTCCCAAACTATTTGTTGCTCCATGGAATCCATCTTGCTTAACTCAATTATGGTGACAGAATTTTAGGCAAAGAACTGGTAAATTATTAAGAACAAAAACAAATTAGTAAAAACGTTGGTGAGCACCTCAAAAACCAACTCAAAGCAAAAGAATTTGAAATAAATACAGATAACACATATTCAAAAAGAAACAAATGAAAAAGAAAATGATTAAGAAAATAACTACCAAGGCATCCGCAACTTCTATTTTGTTTTCTATCTCTTCCTGCAAAGAACTCTACCAAATCACAAGCTATGCAACACAAGATGCTTATAAATAGGAAAAAATAAGCAATTTCCTCTAGGCGATGCCAAACAATCAATACTTGTTACGTGCGAATCAGCTTTCTATGGCAAGGAAAATCACTGCATTTTTAGTCTCTGTTATATGGACTCTACATATAGTTTATGAGGATCTGTTGCAGAATCAAACTATCATATGAACTGGAAATACAACATAAAAACTTAACATTAAAAGCCAGACTCATATGCTAAGACTTCTCACTTAGGTTAAGAAAATAAGGTAAGAGAACTTAAAGAAAGATATCAATCCAAACCAAAGACATCTGTTTTCAGAATTCCAATGAAAATAGTTAAAACAGCCACAAGCACTCGAAGAAGATTATGTATCCTTTTGTTATCCATTTCTATAGTGAAAACATATATAACCTAAATAAATGTCATAAATAATGAAATGGTCAAGGACAGTTCTTGGTTCTAAAACAGATATTGATAAATCCAATTCTTAAAATAGACTAAGAAAACTCAATGATAAGACAATCTAAAATTAAACAAAAAAATAAAAGTGCTTAATAGAATTGCAGCAACACTACAATTAATATCTAAGGCATGGAACAAGGAACTATGTGCTACCAAAGCAATTGCCTGAACCTAGTGGGGCACCTACACCTATGAACCTGAGAGTGGGTAACCAATCAAAGAAATTCATATACCTAAAATGGCAGGAGACACCTTGATGTGACTTCACTCAACAAATAACTTAGTGCAACTTGTGTGCCAGAAAAAAAGGTCTTTAGCAGATAAACAAATCAAGAGATCTACAAAGACAGCATCAACTAAAGCTCCAAAAAAATAAGCCTTACATTGAAGACGCAACAAGAAAGACAGGATGAAACAAAAATTAAAGAAGCCTCATATACATCATCTACACACGGCTATGTCTAAATGAATGCATCCATTATTTTATTTACAGCTGTAATGTTTGAAAGATAAATCCAATAAATGGGATTCACTGTAATGTTTGAAAGGAATGAAATTCCAAATTTCAATTTCAATTACAAGACAGCAGACAAATAAAGATCATTTAAATTATAAATTTATAATTTTATGTAAAATTATAACATTGTAAGAAAAGATCATTTGACATCTGTCATGATAAAAAAAGAAATAGAAGAAATTAGAGAAAGATACCAGGGCATGGACAGCAGGACAGTTGCCTGGTTTCCTAATCATCTCTCTTTTTCCCTTCTTTTTTT